ACCATTATACCCTGATTTCCCATTTTCAATGGGTTCAGGGTATAAAAAAAATAAACGATAATGCAGCGAAATACATATGTGGCGTGCTTTATAAACCATATTAACTTTAGTACAATACATTACATTAGATTGATTAGCTATAATAATAGGTAAATAACGCTGCTTTGGTCGGTATAATTGAAACTTACAAGTGTTCAATATTTAATACTCGTATCCATGTCTTCAATGTGAGTCGCCGTATATTTCAACAAGTAATTTTGCTAATATCACATTATAAAGAGGGTCAATCCCTACCTGCTAAAGGCACGATGGGGGTTCCTAACTTAACTGCTAGATGTTTGGCACCAAGAATTCACTTGATTTGTAAGACCGTATGATTATCTAAAAATACACTTAAATATATATATAGCGGCTGATCAAAAGTCCAATTAGCAATATGCTAATTCTTTGCGATGGCATTAACGCGCCGCCATTTACAGTGGGTTCCAGCATATGGGAAACGGTCAGGGCGGACAGCGCAAGATTCGTTGTAATCCGTGGGGATTGCGAGCTAATCAAGGCCGAAATTTTCTCCGCTTCTGTAGCGCACACTTTTGCCTGCAGTAAGGTTGGAGGGCCACGAGGGACGAGCGCCACAAAGATGCCCACCTCGATGGTGAGAAAGCCGGTCAGCTGACAGTCGCTGACTTGAACCAAGTGATCGATCTCCTGCAGAATGCCATGTAAAGTCAGCAGAGAGCTGTGCTGGCCACGAAGTGCATAATAGGCTCGGTCCAGTTGCTTGCGGGAGTATATGATCCGAAATGCGGCGCCGCCACAGATCGGGCAGCAAGCCCCAGGTGGCACTATCTGTAGGCAATGCTTAGAGGGAAGGTTTGGGCATTGCACCGTCTTGCAGCGCCGTCCCATGTCGCTGACAAGCAGTCCCACCTCACGGCAGCGACCCACGTAGTCGACAGTCACAAAGTCGGCCAAAGCAGCAAAGCTACTCCGATAGGTTACTCCGTTAGTGCCGCAGACTAGCTCAGACAACTCATTTCTCGCCTCGTACTCCGGCCGACATGCACCCCAATAGGCTAGCTGAGAGTGACCCTGCAGCAGGGAGCAGGCGTTCGGGTGAGTCTTACCCGCCGTATCGCACAGCTGTTGCCGGTGCTGAATCCCACATCCAGAAGACGAGACATTCACTGCAATAGCAGCAGAGGCGGAATATAAATCACTTGTTCTGTTCTTTTCGCACCGTTTTACTTACCGCAAATATATTGTGGACACGGCCTCTGCATGCTGGAAAGGCAAACTTGACGCTTCTCCAGACACTGAGTGCCGGACGGACAGCTAGTAGACCCTGACTGGCAGGCATTTCGGGCATTACAGGCTCCGTACACAAAACCGTTCTCGGGCAAGCCCAGGCACTTAGCCACACAAGCCGATGGATAGGTGTTGCCATTGGCCCCACAGACGGGCACGTAGTGGGCAGGACAGTTGCACGGCAAGCTGGTGTAGTTCACATCCACATAGCCTGGCAGGCGGCACTGCTGCTTGGTGCATGTTATTTCACCGGCAAAGCAGCTGCACAGATTACACTCTAGATAAAAGGATGAGCCGTGGCGAAAGCTTCGCCCACCAGGCAGCACACAGTGCACATGGGTGTAGCTGGGCAGCGGCTGACACTGATCCACGTTGCCACGAATGCCACAACGGCACACTACATGCTCCACACTCAGCAACTGATTACTCGCCAGCCCAATACCACTGCGGGGGCTGCTTATTTTGCGAACCCGGACGTATGCCCCAAATGGCACGTTGAGAGTAGAGGCCTGTCCCAGGCTGCAGCCCGGAACACAGGAATACCCCTGGCTACCGTTTCGCTGGGGCACACACACCTCGCTGGCATTACAGGGCTTAAAGGTGCAGGGAGAATTGACGGCCAAATCCATCCTGCCCGATCCCTCGTTCCGCACTTCAGCTGGATCGTTCTCTTTCAGATAACCCCGTAGTGATATGCACGGCATTGGGTCTTCTCCGTCATCCATCCCTGAGGGCGGCTGCAGTCGGTCGCAAATCGCTTGAGGCCGCTGCGGCTGTCTAGTCCAATCCAGGCACTCGTCCAGTAGCTCCGTGCAATCCTCTCTGCAAATCCCATTGTACAGACCGACCCGGGTGCAAGGCTGCAACTGTAAGGCGCAGACCAGCGCTTGCCATTTGTCAGGGGCGCAGCGCGTTGTGTTCTTTATGTAAAGCTCCTGACCCAAGACACGAATGAAGCCGCGCTGCTGCAACAGTGAGAAATCTTCCCGGGCGGCCGAATCATGCGCGGGCGAACAGCTGCGAAACAGCTGAGTTGGCCGATTATTGAAATTGCTGCAAAAACTCAGTCCACGACAGCCCAGCTCACAGGGCGCGTCTACGCTCTCAATGCAGCGCCTTAGATCCATCTCAGCGGGCTGCTCCAAGCACTCGGTGTCGAAGCTCGCGCGTGTCTCCCACCAATCGTTGGTGAATATCTGGGTGCACAGGCGGCGGCACTTGTGGCTGCTGGCATGCTCGCAACACTGACGCTTGGCTGCATCGATGCCCAGTTTGTTAGGGTCCTCGTTGTCAACGCCCTGGGAGGACAGCTCAGGGCGCCACTGCCTCGTTCGCCCCTCCTGCGAGGGCACATACAATTTGCGAGTCACCGTCAGGAAGCATTGCCAAAAGGGCAGATGGGGCATCGGGAGTCCGCAGCCTGCCTCAAGGCGCGCAAAGACCACGTCACTGCGCTCGGCTCTTTGCTTCAACTTGGATGCATGTAGCACATTCGTGCATGTTTGGTGGCACTTCTCCTCGTGACTGAACGCACAGCATGGCAAGTCTATTTGGGAGAATCTAAATTAATCATAGATCATTTATATACGGGCGTGCGTGCACTTTACATTTCTCAATGTCTACAGGCGGGGTCATATCCGTGCGATTGTGAATGCATTGCAGCACATCAGCATTTCGTTCCCCACATGTCTCATCCACCAATTTACTATCGGTGTTTGCGGATCCAGTTTCATTCGGGGGCTCAAAAACCTCACGGCAAGCCTGTTGTAAGTAAATTATACATATGTATCTAGCTCAATCGTAGTAAATTTTAAGAAAAACCGAAATTGTATAAAATGCATTTTAATATACATTTTAAATTTGGAGACCCTAGCTTGAGAGATGTAGGAGATATAATTTTTTAACTAATTTTCGATAAGGGTTTTTATCGATAAAAAATAT